CTTTGTGAATTATTAATAATAGTTTCAAAGTCCGGTTGAATGGGATATCTTCAAAAGCTTGCGGGAAGACCATAATGTTTTCCTTTTCTTTCAAACTGGTCTTATCCCTTATAATTATATCGAGATAATCTTGTATTAGCTATACTTTATTACTATTAGAGTATTATTTTTTTAATTTTTAACGTAGCAGGTTTTCACTCAAAGGCGTTTGGACGTGCCAGTGAAGTTAAACCCGCCGGTTTTAGGTCAGTGGATCGGGTGGGCCAGACGACGTGCTTCTGCTGATCCATCGTCCCAACAAAGAACAAAAAAAAGAAAAACTTCGTTCCACTCTATCCTTGGGTTAAACAAGCAGTAATAACTGCGGTTCTGTCCTTATTGAACGTTATAAAAGACCATAAAAACTTTCCAGAGCAATGACACCGCCCGGTTATTCCAATTTTAAACAAATAGGTCTTATAGACGTATTCTTAAATGTCAAGCATAAAAGGGCTGAAACGTGACATCTCCGATATATTGTGAATTTGACTTATTTGTAATTTAAATAAATGTTATATTAAAAGGGAATTTTCAAGCAGGCTTCCTATTTTTCTTTTCTTTTTTTTTTATAAGTAAGGTAGTTTTTTCACTTAGTTCACGATAATACTTCTGTTCGAGATTTATCCTTTAATTAGACGAGCTTCAAAAATGAACGTAATCAAAACTAAAATTGTTAGCTTCAATTTTGATCATTTTTTTAACAGACGTCCTAGATGCTTTGGTTTGTTTAACTTAGTCCTAATTCATGTTGTATATTTATCAAACGAACTCCAGCAGTTAATTATTTGTAGTTTGGTCATTTCCGAACATTTATTTTTTCCTCATTTTTCCTGTATCTTCAATTATTTGAACTGAAGATGAAGCTGACCAGACTGAAATGAATCAGTTTCGTTCAATAAACGACTGAACTACAGGTTCAACTCAGTAATCTCGCAATTAATTTTTATTACAACCATATGTATGAAATAAAAAAAGGTTTTATTCAAATTGAAATTCTATGTTTTTTCATTGATGAAATTGTAAAACCTTTATCAAAAACATTTTTTTTTAGTTTTAAAATATTTTATAATCAAATATCGTTTCGAAAATACTATAGATTTACGTATTTTTTAGTGATTCACTCGAAAAAGTTATTTTAATCTTCTGTTTGAGCTTCTCTGGTATACTGAGCAAACTATTGCACGCTTCAATATCGTCGATGTTGCTGAGGGGCATTATGACCAAAACCTACAACTAGAATGATGTTTGAGATAATTAAAACTAGACGTGCACTAGAAAAATTAATCAATATATAAACCAATAATTTTATTTTTTCATTATTTGAGTGAGTAGAAATACTTTGATTGAATATATAAAAAAAATATATTTTGCATTGTATAAATTCACTTTTCCACATCCAAAATGTAATTGTAATATGTAAACAATATTTGTAAATCCCAGGCCCTGAAGATGATCTCAATAAAGATCGAAACGTTGGCACGATAAAGAAAATGTTTTTCTGAAACCTACATCACACCAGATCGCATCTCACGATTTCTAAATCAATATTTTTTCATTAAGTTAATTTCTGAAGCATAGGCACTTACAGTAAAAACATGGGAAAATAGGAGGCCTGCTTGAAAATCTCATTACATATAAAGCTTTTAATTACAAAAAAATAACAAAACAACATTATTAATTACAACAAAATAACATTCAAAAAGACTTAGGTAAATACATGAATTATGTTTCATTGTTGGAGATATTTTAATTTACAAATGAAATTATCGAAATATTAACATGATATTTTGAGAAGTCTGAAAGAACACATTTAATTCCGAGGGAAATCGTTTCCTTCTCTACTCAATCAATTGTTTTGATTGATGAAGGCAGTATATTATGTCATAGTTCTATGAAAGAACTGTTTTTTTGTTTTTTTTTAATTAATGTTTCATACACGTTTATTGATGTGCAAGGCGTGAAAATGTAGTGTAGCCTACGTAGACACTTGTCTACCACAAAAGTGGTAGTGATCCAAAACGTGCAAAATTATTCATTTTTATGCCAGTTAAACTTTTATATGTATACATTGTATACTTTTTTAAGGTTGGTATGATCAGATAGCTGCGGGAAAAAATAAGAAGAAAAACTGCGTTTTTTTGTATGCCATCGTTTCGTCAAATTTAATGACATCCTCAAGGCGAGTTGAAATTGAGTTTTTCATTCAATTTCAAAAAATTGTACATGAAGGTTGAACCATGTTTTGTCAAAAATCAGCTGTATTTCTTATTCTATGAAGGTAGGAACAGCCAAAAAAACTAGTATAAGAAGTATAATAATCCGATAATTATATTAATTTAAACAGTTTGAGAAGACGAAGAATTTAAAATAAGAGATAAAAGTAAATTAAAACAATGTACTCTCAATATAAATATAAAATATAAAAGCAAATGTAAAAATAAATTAAAACCTTCAAATACAACTTTGTAAAATTGTCTGAAATCTCAATTAATACCCTTAATGATGTCAATAAATTTTATGAGACTGTGGCATTTTTAAAACGCAGCTTTTCTTTTATTTTACGTATCTAGATCATCCCAAACTTAACGTATATATTTAATTTAATAGACGGTATTCATGAAATAATTACTTTTCAAGTCATATATACCATGAACGCATTTAGGGCTTAATATTTCCAAATACAATCGGTTAAATTTTGATTATTTTTTTTTAACTACGAGTTTAATTTGATATTTTCAACGTGATGCAATGTTTGTCTGGGAACCTCTTCTATCACTTTCCGTCGGATGGCGTGATGTGACACAATAGATAAAAATTCAAACGATTGATCAGTGTAGACAGTTTTGTATTCATATCCGAAAGTCCTCGGTTGATGATCGCAATCTGTTCTCGCCGGGACTGTTTTTTTTTTTTTTTTGAACGGCAAAGATCTTAGAACGAAGGTCATATCAAACATTTTCACCGCGTCCTTGCCCTTATGTTACCACAGTTGCTGCCTTATTTTATCCTCGTGCCACCACAATCGCGATTGACGGTCGGTGATCTTTTGACGAAAAACCGACCGAATTGTAGCGATTTTTCGCCTTCCCAATACCAAACAACGGGCATGGAAGGTCGCCTATTTTGTCTATTTGACGGAGGAAAGGGTTATAAAATAATTTTTAATCCAGGGTGGGGGCAAAGGAGAGATGGTGGGAGGGACATGGTGTAACCGAGTATTGAGAGCTGCCACTGGTTCAGTCGTGTGCTCGTCTCTTTGACGCAGAGATTCGTTGTGTTATGTGCCCTAATTCACTTCCACCAGCCGTCTCCCATTCCATGCTGGATACTTCTCTGGATCACACTCAAGGTGTTTTCTCAGATAATCGCACCTCACGCGGTTATCAGGTAAGGGAGGCAACACAGCCGGGGTTTTTTTCACAAGAAAAAAAATCTCGGGGATTTTTATTTAAATTTATCTTTATTTGTCCTCCAGTGGCCAAGTTTGCCTTTTTTTCTCCAAAACTTTACACTTTTGAATCGAAGGGTTTGTAGCATAAAAGAGAGAGTGCTGGCTTGTGGCGAGAGAGCCGACGAAATGTGGGATTGTAGGCCAGTCGGGTTCATCCCACCCAGTTTCACTTGCGTGGCCCATTTAAAAAATCTACCCCAAAGTTTTTATTATATTCAACCCTTTAATAAATTTTTAAGATAAAAATCCTGCAAAAAAACCGATATCCGATCGTTTTCTCTGAAGATTAAAAGACTAATAATAAAAGATACGGTTTCAATTTTAACATTTTTTCTGACCGAATAATCGGTTCAATTTAAAATTTTAACATAATTTTACAATTGTGAAACCTTGGCGCTTCGATGTGGTGGGCGGGGTGGAAGACCAGGGATCAATACCCGCAGTGGGGGTGGAAATAGCCTACACCCTCCTACACGTGCAACCGAATCTGTGCATTTATAAAAACGGAGTCTTTTTTGTAACTTTCACAAGCGCCGGTCATTCACGAGAAAAGGAAGAAAGAAATTGCACAAGGAAAAAACCCAAGCTAAATCGTACTTAAAGCGGCGCTTAAAAAAAAAAAAAAAAAAAAAAAAACTCCTGCAATTAATTGATTTCATTATATTCCCTGTACAAAATAAATATACAAATTACATAATTATTTAAAAGCACAAAACAAAAAATTGAATCAAATTTACAGAATGTAACATTGAGAATAACTAAGGCGACAAAATGGCCGAAATCACGTACTCTGCCCCATTATTTTAGCCTGTCTAACTTCCAACACGGAAATATTTTCTACTTTCTTAATTTAAAAAAAAGGTGCATTTGTTATCAATGATATTATAACAATCATTTAGATTACGACCGAGAACTTAGAAATCTCTTACATCTCGGATTTTTTCCTTTTAACTTTAAAATTTACAAACCCTCCATAATTTTCGACATTATTGTCTTAAATGAACTAGTTAAAACAACTATCCATATTCAAAAATCGACCTAGTTTATTTATTTATTTTTTAATGTGCCCGTTGTTTGATGCTGCACATTGTATTTTTCAGATACCAATAATTTCTACCAGTTCAAATTTGATTTCACAGTTTACGACCATTTACGTTTCATTTTTGTTTAAATTACTTAAAATATTATTATTATTAATTAAAGCCAATATAAACACAAAAATCACATGTGTTTAATAATCCAATAAATCTTTTTAATTAGTAAATTTTCCTTTACTTATTTTGTTTGTAGTTGCTAGAAACTTAATTGTGTTTGGAAGGTCGTGTATTAACATTTCTCTGTTGTGTATAAGTCAATAACAGCCTTGAAGTCAATGTCATTACTGCAGCAAGATTATTATAAATTTCCTTACATTTCATTCTCCGTTTTTACATATTTTGACGTGAAACAAAAACACATGTTCTAAATTTTTGTTTAGAAATTACAAAGTTAAAAAATTGCATATGCCTTTTAAATAAATTTTGATTTTTATATCTTTAATTATAGTACATTAATAGAAATTTAAATGGTATGGTGTGTAGTAAACATTGACCTCCCGGTGTCTTCATGTTCATCAAAAAGTGTCACTGCTTTAACCAGAAAATTTCACTCCGAGTTGGGGGGGGACACAGCATCGCCAAGCACCACAATCATGTATGTCATAAAACACAGTACAATGTAAAATAATTGTCTCCTCACAATTTGTTCAGTTTTTTATTAAACCTAAAAGAAAATTCAATCATGTTTATAAATCTTAAAATTCCTGACTCTCGGTGTCATTCTAAAATAAGAATCCGGCTGTGGCCAGAGGCCAAAAAAATTTCAATCAGCTATTGGCTGGCGTTATTTTAGTTTCTTCCGATTCTTACTTATTTACAATCAGGTATCAAACAGACTGAAAATAAAATGATTAAGTGTTTACTGTGAATTTTATGTTGATGTGGATATGAAGTAAAGTTGGTTTTAAGCTGTATTTTATTTATGTTCAAAGGGAGTCTCAGTGGCTCCGGTCGCAAACCACTTGCTTCTGAGGTTTTTTCTTCAACCCCAATTCCTTGAACGTAAGTTTTTTAATAAATTAATTCTTTACAATTAATTTATTAAAAATAAAATCTGGTGTATGGTGGTAGAATTCCTCTTAACGGTATCTTCTTCCAAGTTTTGAAGAAAAAAGTATAGTAAAACAGGGTCTTTTGCCATCACAGCACTGATAATTTCGAATTTTAATTTTAGAAATTAAGGAAATTGTTAGTAATTGTTTTAGCCTAATTTTGATTTTTTTCTCTTTGTTTGTTTCCAGCTTTTGGGCAACAACTGGCTGACATTGATGGAGTTTCGACTGGACAGTGCAGAGTACTGCCAAGCTCAGCACAAATAAACACTTTGCTGGAGTAAAACCAAAGGGACAGTTTTACTAGTGATATCAGATAATTCGTTTCAATCCTTGCACCGTGTTGACACCTGGTGAGACCATCCGGAAATTCCACCCTTCACATCTTAGTTAATTTGTGTATGGGGGACGAAACGCATGTTGGAAGTTGCGTTTATATTTCCGGCTCATCAGATGCTCTCCGGTGCTCACCAACAGTGTAAAGTGTTAAATTTTCTATACAACAGTGAGATCTGTTAAACAGATCTGAATAGCATTATTTTTGTATTATTTGTTACACGTTTTGGGATTATATTTCTATCATTACTTTCTTGAGTAAAAAGACCGGCAATAGGAGTGAGTGTTTTTCTCTTTTTGTGTCCATCGGGAAATGAGTATAGACACGATGAGGCATAAGGATATAAGACCCCCTCCCTGCGAGATCCAGTACAAGAACATGAAGTTCCTCATCACTGACCGCCCAACAGATCAGAACATTCATAACTACATTCAAGTGAGTAATAAAAAGAAGTATGTAAAATTAAAAAAAAATCCTATTTGTAAATTCTATTATTGTTAAAATAATTATGTAGCAATTCTTATGATTAAAAAAAAATTACATCAAATTTAGATAAAGTACATTTGTGGTTGTTAGTGCTAGTCTCTTATTGTTACCATGATTCATTTCTTCTATGGTTTGTTTTAATCTTATCTGTGCATTTTCACTGACGTAAACCAATTTTTTATGAGTTAAGATTTCGAGATAAAAAAAAAATTGATCATTTAGTGGGGACACAATTGATTTGGCTATGAATCATTCATTTTTTGCATAAAATCCTTGTTTTTTTTTTTCAGGAATTGAAAAAACACAAAGTACGAGAAGTGGTGAGAGTATGCGAACCAACTTATAAAATAGATGAATTGAAATCAGAAGGAATATCGGTGAAAGATTTGGTGTATGATGATGGAACTTCCCCACCTTCAGAGGTAATTATTTAAGGGAACCTGTCCAAATTAAATGTACAAATTTCCTGCCAATAAAGTTTTTCCCCAATCAATTAATTTTTACTATATTATAAATTATTGTAATAATTTTCAGTTTATTTAATAATTCAATTTCCAAGTGAGAAAAGAAATGGCGATTTTAAATTTGTGCTTTCAATTCATGGCTAATGAAAGATATTGAACTTAAAAAAATGAATATGGCTTATCTTAATCGATTTTATCTAAATCCTTCTTTTCGATAAAATAGCATTTACATTCTTGGAATTTTTTCAGGTTGTTGACGAATGGTTTGAACTCCTCAAAACACGATTTAGAGAAAGCCCTGAGTGTTGTGTGGCTGTACACTGTGTAGCAGGTTTGGGTCGAGCTCCTGTTCTTGTTGCACTTGCCCTAATCGAACTCGGTATGAAATACGAAGACGCAGTTGAATTAATAAGACAGTAAGTTGATTTAGACATTTTTTAAAATGGTTTTTTAAAATAAAGCATATATGTTAAAGCTTAATTCTCAAAATGTGTGGTATTTAGTGATCGTTAATTAATGATTATATAATATTTAATATTATTTAAATAATCATTAATTCTCAAATTTGGTTTTATTTTGGGAATAGTTACAAAACTTCACAAAAAGAGCCTATAAAACATTATTAATCATATTAATGTGCTCAAATTAATAAATTTTGATTAAAAAACATCTTTTTCATAAAATGAATTGCCATACTCACCCCACCTCAAACCATTTCTAGAAATGATGAAAGTGGGGCGAGTATGTAGATATAACTGTTTATAAATATTTAAATGTTCTACTCGCAAATATGTTATAACATCTGGATTTCAAGCATTAAATTCTCATCATCAGGTTGAAGGAGTTACAAACACGTCTCTTGACTTTAATTGTAAGAGTGAACTCACCGATCCACCACCAGCGAGAACCAAATTCCAAAAAATTACAATGAGAACCTGGTTTTAATGCTGCTCAATTTTGAACGTGCAAAAAATATGAATTACAACACAACTAAATACTATTCTAATAATAAATACTCTAAGAAAATAATTTTCAATTATTTATTAATTTGTATGTCAAATATTATTTAGGTACATGTATATAAAATAGGAGGTAAATCAAAATCTATTATATTATTTATCTCCAAGTTTAATTTTAATTTTTTTAACAATGTATTTAAATTGATTTTTTTTTTAAATTTGTTTATTTGATAACGTGTTCAGTGTGCATATTACATGTTATAGAACTATTACTAGTAAATTCAACTTGTTTTATTTCATTCAGATAGTTCTTAAATTCGGAAAATTTGTTCGATTTAGGCAAGTATTCTTTAACTCTTGTTTTAATTTCTATGCCACTTTATCCTATATTTTTAATATTGCAATCATTACATTTAAATTGGTAAAATAAAATAATAAAATAGATTTTAATTCACCTCCTATTTTAAACACGTACCTAAATATTATTTGACATACAAAACAATCACTATTTAAAATTATTTCTTTCAGTATTTATTAGGATAATATTTAATTGTAATTCATGTTTTTCACACGTTCAAAATTGAGCGGCATTAAAAACCAACTTCTCTCTCATTGGGATGTCGCATTGGTGGTGGATCAGCAGGTTCATTCTTACAATTCATAACAAAGAGACATGCTTGTAACTCCTTCAACCTGATGGTGAGCTTTTATTGCTTGAAATACATATTGTAGACAACAAATCTTCTGAGTAGAACCATCATTTACAAAAAGTCAAACCATTTCTATCGTATATTTGTTTTATTTTTTAGAAAACGCAGAGGTGCTATTAATGCTAAGCAGCTGGCTTTCCTAGAGAAATACAGGCCAAAATCTAGACTGAAGATAAAGAATGGGCATAAGAATTCTTGTTGTATCCAGTAACAATTTTAGCCAATCACACAACTAAGTCATGCGTTGCATTGATAGACCCTAATTGATTAAAGTTAATTATCTATATTATGCTCTTTAGATGTTATATCATTTTATATAATTTACTTTTTTTTATTTGTATTTATTTATAAGGGATGACATGTAGCCTGTTAGAATGTAAGAAGTATGATTAAGATCAAAAGTCATGCATTGATAAAGTAGGTTTATGTTTGTACCAATAGTTCTTAGTTCGTCTTAAGTTTAACAGTGTAATATGTATAAAAAGAAGCGAAGGTGCTCGAACCTTCTGAGTTTTGAATTAATCAACATTTTAGATTTGTTTCTAGTAATCTTAACAGGAGTGTGTAACTTCTATTTGGATATGACAGATTGTTTTTGAATAGAAAACAAATGAGAAAAGTAAAAGGAGAAAACTGGGTTTACTTTTAAACCTAATGTTGCAGAATTATAAAAGCTCCTCTTCCCCCCCCAATCAAAGAATAACTTACAAAATTATATATTGTATGAACCAAAATATTTTTGCACGAGTTGACATGCTAAATTCAATGAATATATTTTTAACTTATTAATTTTGACAAATCTACAGACAGCCGTTATTTGATACTGGAATTAGGGATGGGGGTGATGTTTTAACAACTGGGAAGTGAAAAATGTGTGTAATCTCACAATATAATAAAACATGTAATATATTAATGTACATTTTTTATGGTGACATATTTTCCAAAGAGAACCACCATATCTAAAAATTGTGAAATAAAAACACTGCCACATCATAATCAGATTAAGTTATAACCAATTCTTAATGGTACTGTAATTATAATATAATGCTGTGTAGATGTATTTGAAAATAAAACATTCACTTTTTTTTTATTATTCTCTTTTGCTCCTCTTATGTAATTGGAGAAAGTGAATGAAAGCACATTATAGAGAAATTGTCAAAAAAACAAGAAAAAAAACAATAGTTAGCGAAACATGAAATTATGTAAATGCTTAATTTTGACTTGAATGTGATGTTAATTATTTAGAGTTACTACATTACATTATTTGCAGGGAATATGGTAGAGTAGTTAAGATTTACAAATTTTTGTTATATTTTGAAATAAAACATTTAAAAGTATTTTGATGTGATAACCAAGGAAGATTACTTAAAAACTTAATAATAATAAAAAATAAAAAAAAGTTTAAAAAAAAATCATCACATTTGTAAGTAGGCTCGATGATTTACGTATTAGATTGTTATATGTATATGTGTATTTATGTTGTGTATTTGGCTATCTGGTTGTTAGAATTATAAGTATGCATGGGAGAAGGGAGAGAGTTGCTAAGTTATTTAAAAATTGGTTTTTCGATTTTAAATTTAATGATGTATGTAAACTTGTCTATTTGTCATATCTGATTACCTACATAATGGTACAAAGGTATTAGATTGACTTGTGAATTAAATATAAAATAAATATTTACAACAAAAAATGAAAAAGTAAAGACCTAATAAATAAACATACAAAACAAAATATTTGTTTCATTCCTGTTTGTACATCCTTAGATCAAAAGTAATGTCTGTATAATTAAAAGTTCAAGTTATTATATTTCAATGTAATAACAAAATATAATATTTTTAAAAAAGTATCGCCCGTTAAGGCAAAGCAGAACTTGGTGCATACGATTGATTATTAAAAAATTAATATGGTCATTATGGATAAATTTCATCAAGTGACAACAGCAATGATATGCAGACTAAAATGATCAATAACGACCAAATTAAAGGTCTGAAAAAGTTCACAAGAAAAGCCAGAATGAAAGTGAAGTATCAAATTTGCAAACGGTTTTAAATCGACAAAACTGGCATAAATCTAAAAATAAATATTTATTACAAAAAAGACAAAGTAATGCCCTAATAATTAAATATACAAAACAAAATACTTGTTCATCTCTGTTTGGAAATCCCTAGATAAAAAGCAAATCTTTCAAGTCAACAATAATTTTGAAGGTAAAAAAAAATTGTAACCCTATCAAGACAGCCATTAAGTTGTGAAAAACCAGTATTATTAAAATGGTAATACAATCATTGTCGACCATTTTGGTCTTCCTAACCTCACTGTGTTGGTCTGTCAGACCCATAGTGATATATTTCTTGAATGCTTGAAAAAAGAACTGAGCATTTTACTTTTCTTTCAAACTGCATACAACTTGACGGAAGAGACAATTTATACTAAATCCAAACTGTAATTTGTTAGAAATACAAATTATTGCCCTCTTATCAAAAGGCACTGAACCTCGGGAATGTAGAGACCTCTACCTAAATGGTGGTCACTTCATCCGGGACACTTCAGGATTTAACCAACCCTCTAGACTAGTCATTTGTGGTTATGGGTGAGTGAGGAGTCAATTATCAATGTTGGACTTTGAATTTTATGATTTTTCATGGTGTTGATGAAGCCTTTGTGCATGATGGAGAAATAAAAACTAAGCTAAATAAACTATACACAAAAAAGGTAAAAGTAAATGAAATATATTTGATTTAGAAAAAAATATATATTGTATAAACACACATTATATTTTAAAGTCTGAATTGATATCTGCCCAATGTTTAGTTGCATTTAAAACTGAGCGTCCTGTAAAGTGCAGCTGCTTTTGAATATCAAAAACTGGTGGATTTGGTTTTATAATATATTCTTTGTTAAAAACTGGTTTATAATAATCCGACAAAACTGGCTCTTCTTCTTTATTCTTTACAAATTCCTTCACCTTCAATGGTACATTTGGACAAATTCCAATGTCCTCCTCGCTCACTTGCAAGTCCACAAGACCCCTGTAAATTTGCTCATCGAACGGGATGTTGATTGTTTTTAACCCCTGCAAACAAAATTCAAACTATTTTATAAATACATCAACTGCAATGACTACAATCATCTGATCCTTGTGAATTAATGAAGAAACCCCTTATTTGATTATTGAATTTATATTTGCAGTGTTTTATTATGTGGTGGAGCTCCATCATTGTCTATATAGAACAAGGTTGAAGTGATGATGCCTCAAATTGTTGGTAAAATGATAAAGTGAACTCAACAATAAATAATGAACTCATAAAAACAAGAAAATGGAAGGATCAGGATACCTTTAAAGCAAAATGCTAAGTATTCAATAATAAATAAATCAAAAGGCTAATTGTGGCCATTTCATGGTCTTTATGAGTTCAACATTTTCCTGGATGTAAAATGAAATTAAAAACAAAGAAAAGAACAAAAAACACTAAGTATATTTACTATAATCAAATTCATGCGAGAATGCAAATATTACAGAATAATCAAATAATTTTAAAGACGATGAATAAGAAGCATAACCTCTTATTCAAAAAATTAAGAATTGCTTGACATTGTCACTAGCACCCGAGGCCTAGCCAGTGCCTGCGGTTTCCATCCTTGTCCTCAACTTTGTAATCAGCCACTTTGTCCAAGGCTCACAGGGCAAGGTGTGATTAGGTGACCTCAACCGAGGTCATGTATACAGCTGCATCAGCAAGGACCTGGGATCCACACCATCCCAGATTGCAAATACAGCCTCGTCTGTAAGGACCCAGGGTCGACACCCTCCTAGGTCTCACCATCCAAGGTTTGCAACTCGAGGCCGTTCCTGGCTGAACCAGGGTACAAAACTAATAATAAACTAAATATTTGTACTGGGGAGTGTGTAGTTGTCGGTGCTGAGCCCAACAGTTCTGTGTTTAGTTCAGCAGTGAGTTCAGTCACTTGAGACCAGAGTCAAAGATAGGATGTTAAATCCCGTTTCATCACAATTAAGGGACTCCAGGACGCCACCCTTTAAACTGGAGCATTTATTTAATCCCTTTTTCCCATACAAGACTGATTTACCTCTTTGAATGAGATATTGTTGTCACAAGAGAAGAGAGATCTGCCACAATACTGATTAAGAAATATATAATTTATAAACAATAAATATTTTAGATTTTTGGTGTAATTTCTATATATGAAGAGCGTTTACAACCAAATAATAAAAAAAGAAGGTAAAAATAATATCTTACTATAATTTCACAAGAAAAGTTTGAATTAATTGAAGTACAAATTGATCAAATTAAAAAAAAAGTTTTAAATTGACAAAAAATCCCTGTATACTTGATAAATTCTTGTATGAAAAGAGTGAAATGATCTAATTTACCTTCGTTTGGGATGTTTGCGGCTTTGAATTGACCTTGATTGTCCTACACGATTGTTTTGACGTCTTAGAAACACCAGATTCTACAGACTTGGCCAAACGAAGCGATGAAAACAGTTTTGGTTCAGCTAGATCAGGCGATGGTTTCTCAGGAATAATAGTTGGCGCTTCAGAGTCGCCCTTTTCATCAGCAACTGCATGAGATTCATAAAGTGTGACAGGAGGAGGCCGTACTTCTCCATTCCTCACAAACTGCTTAGAAGTGGTAGAATTTGGTTTTGTTACTCCACTTTGAACACAAACAAACTGATATAAACCATAAATCAACTAGTAATAAAATATCTCTAACACTAGTGTTTTACACATCTAACAAAGTAACTTAAAATAAATACCATAAATGAATAATGCTTAGAATTATTAAAATTTAAATAATTGTTGTTTTAACTATCAGAAATTAGATGATACCATATTTTAATCATCAAATATTTGAGTAATGATTTATCAAATTTTTAGGCATATTTTTGTATACAGTTTATTATAATTAAAAAATAAGTTGAGGCATAAAACAGCCAATAACACCCATCTTGTATAGCTTAAACAAACAGAAGTATAATAATTGTGTTTGTAGGAAACACAAATAAGGGATGGCTCAGAAGTATATCTACAAATTTGTAAGATTAACATGAACAGGAATAAACGTTTTTCAATAAATTTTTGTGTAATGCTTATTAATGAGAAGTAATTTTAGAAACAAGCTGATAAACAAATAACAATGATAAATTATTTTTAAAAAGTAACTGACTAAATGTGGAATTAATCTAAGAATACCACTAGATGACAACATAAAACTTGTTTCTTTGGTCGGGTTATCAAGAATGAATCGAGGTTGACTTACTGAGGTTAAATTATTATTATTATTACAGTGTCTCATAAAACTGTAAACATTAATGTACAGCATAAATAAACTGATTGTGCCAATTGTATATAATTGAAACACAAAAAATAGTACTTACTTTTCATTTTGGTATGGCTATCTTCGCTGGGTCAGGCACACAAAAATCTGAAAGACCAATCCAGTAAGGATAGGCAGACTAAAATGATCAGTAACGACCAAATTTCAGGATCATCAGAACACAACAACATGAAAAATCTCAAAACAAAAAAAAATTTTGCTTTCGACTTTACAATCCACAAGTAATAATTTCACAATTTTTTAATTTATATATTAGCATAGTGCTTATTATCATTAGCTACTTAGTAACTAAATTTTATTAAAAAATGTATAAGCTAATTATATCTCTTGTATCTTCTCTAATACTTAAAGTAATAGTTTTTATATATTTATTTAAAATATATAAATAAAATTGGATAGTTCAAACCTTAAAAATTGTTTATACCTGTTTCTTAAGTAGTACAGATTCTGAAGTTGTTAATACATGTCTTGTGTAAAACTTAGTTTTAATAAAAACAATTAAATTGGAGTATTTTGTGTCATAAAGAATGGGGGTAGAAGGGGGTTACTGGTCAATTAACTTCTAAAAATTGCCCCATGTTCCATGGTTGCGATAGAAAGTTGTCAATACTGTGATTTAGTAAGAAAACTATCCTAGTTTCAGTTGTTAGAATCTGTTGTAAACATATTCAAAAATTTTAATGTAAAACAAGTGGTTTGAGCAACATTGTGCTAATTTTTTATGGCTTAAACACTCTGCTTACATTTGCTCCAAAAGTACAAATTGTGAAGTTTTTAACACATGTCTTTTGTAAAACATGCAGCAGGTAAATAAAGCGAATTGTGGTAGTTTAAAAAGCTGTACATGCTAATTTTCTATGGCTCAAACACTCAAAATTGATTATAACTGCTTCACTAAGTCAAGTACCAATTCTTATGCTTTTAATAAATACTGATGGATAAAATTAACACACCACTCTTAAATTTTAATGCATTTGTTTATTCATATTTTGTATGCTTAAAATTGGTTTAGTTGTACAAATAATATATCTAAAAATAAAATGTTTATTATCTAATTGTAAAAAAACAATTATTGAGTAAAGAACAAAAATAAATAAATACAATTTAATTACTTTTTGTAATCTTAAATACTGAATATTTCCAGTGGCACAAATCATGTCCACCTTTACATTCCCTGGAAAAAATTTCTGGTAAAAGCCTTAGTAATTATTTCCCATTTATCAAGAACTGCCATTTCCATATCTAGTTCAAATCTAGACTTCAAGCTGGCCACACCAAGCACACATTTCCAACCTCATTGTGGTAGTCATCCACAATACGCGCTCTATGGGGCCTGGAATTATTCTGCATTAGCAATATTCTCTCAATTCTGTGGGGCAAATAGCACTGCACGTCCTTTGATTATGTCTTGTAGAACCTCTGTAAAGTTAGGATCTTCCTTGCACAACAACCAATTCGGTGCAGGTCCAAGGAAATGCCACCCTAGAACATCAAAGACCCACCATGGAATGCCACCTGAGGAACCATACAGCATGAGGTGTACTTTGAGCGTCTACATATAAAATTACGCCCATCTGGAGATTTGAGGCCAACTCTCACCTCATCTGTAAAGAGAACTTGTCCCCAATCTTCCAATTAACATGTTACCGAGTGAATTGAAGCCTGGCAACTTTCAGGGGTGTGGTAAGAACAAGTCCTCGAGACAGGTACCAGGCCCTGAGGTTATTTTCATTGAGCCTTCTTCTTACAGTCCTGGAGTAAATTGAAACATTTCAAACATGTCTTATCGGATTTCATATCTTATTTCCTGTAATACCGCGATGTTATGGAGCCTGATAATGGATGAACCGACTGACTCCTTGGTCTGGAGACCTAGGTCGACCTGCCCTTGCCTTCCAGTGTGAAACCCTGAAGAATACTATTGTAGAGTGCTTTACAATCAGACTCCTGGAGGCTTCACGCTGGATGTATCTTTCCTCAAATAATGTTACACCCTGACACTGTCCTACTCAAGTGCCTGACTGGAACCATTGAAAAAGGTTTAAGAATAAGAATATCAAGTCAAATTAATGAAGGAAAAAGATTAACCGAAAGCGATCTTTAGGCGTAACAGAATGGAAGGGCATAATGCTACTTTTTGAGCAAATGGGATTAATCAGAAAAAAGTAAATAACAAAGCATTATTTTGACCACGATAGCTTGTACTTGTAGCTAACGTAGAAAGATAATGAATTTAATTTTCAACTAAATAAATTGAGTGTTGCGTCAAATTTGTCCAATAGTGTGTTATGTGTACAGTTTAGTGTTATTAAAAACAATATGTAGTATTTTGTGACAAAGATGTACAAAATAATTTTTCTATGGCTGACACTCAAAATTATTTATTCCTGTACCATCAGTACAAATTGTGAAGTTTTTAATATAAGCTTTCTGTACAGCTTAGCACCAATAAACCTTTAGTAATTTCGGTAATTAGTTTTGTACATAAAGATAATTTCTATGAAACAAACACTCAAAATTCATTAGGTATGGGCCTTAGTATATAGTATATCTGCTCCACAATGAACCTTCATTACTTATATTTTTGAGAATTTGGTACATTGGCTGGTGGTAATGGTTTTATGAGGTATACATAGAAATTATCAGTACAGAAATACTATCATTTAATGTATCATGGAAGAAGTATGTTTTTAAAAGTATACCTATGAAGTTTGCTGTGTCCGTTGTCATTCTCAGTATTTCGGGGCATTGGAAAAGAAAAATCCTCCAAATTCACACTTTATTTTGGTATTATTCAGGTTCAATTCAAAGTTCATTCGTGTTAATTGTCTGTCGTATTTGACGTGCCCGCCTTTTCAAAGTACAAACTGTGTCAGGTTACGTACTTATTTGAGTGTACCTATTGTCATAACCTTTTATCATCCCTCAATTTGTCCTTGCGTCAAATCGTTGTTGGCCCGCTTGGAAACGTCTGAAACCTGAGTATTTTCCCCTAACCTCAAAACAGAACATCAAGGTCGAGGTATTTTCATAAATTTTACCCTTCTTTCCATCCTATCATCACAATATTAAACCGCCCTTGTTTATCCCACAGCAATGATCCCAGCAAAGATGGTATCCCTCATGAGAGGAGCTGCTTCCGCCAGCCGGTAACTTTTTATTTCAATCCTCAAATGTAACAGATTAAAAACCGACTGTGTACTTTGTGTGGCGTCTCAATATTCAACAATTACTGATTATTTTTTCATCCAGCACGTTAAAGCTAACTTGGTTTTGCCAACTCTCATAATACACCTAAGTTATCGAATTTACATACCTTAACACAATTTAGCCCATTCATTTAAGTAGTGATAGTAGTAGTGGGTTTTGGGGGCCGCGGTAGCCAAGTGGTTAAGGCATCATACTCTCAGCTAGTAGATCCCGCGGTCGTGGGTTCGATCCCCACCGTCGCCTCTGGAATTTTTCTGACGCCTAAGGGGACCGGTGGCCGCAATTGAAAGAAATTAACACGGCACTCATCAATGGAAGGGGCGGGATCAGATCTCAGCCGACCCTGAATTTGGTCCCAACCCCTTCAAAAATGATGGAAGAACACCGGCACACCGGGGACTCAAATTCACACTTGTGTTGCGAGCCCAAAAAAAATGGAGCCAGGGATAAAGTACAATAAGCTGTACAGCTGCAGTCCTCAGGAGGGAACTCCTCCAGTTTCTCACTCAGTTCCTGGTATCCATTGTAAAAAATAAAAAAATAATTTTAAAAAAGTAGTGGTTTTTGCCCAGGTGTGGTTTACCCATGGATGTGGTTTTGAAGTAGAGACAAGTCTATACAGGGTGTCCCAGAGGTAATGCAAAAAAAAATAGGATGATAGTGCAGTAACCCCTTTAACACTTGTGGTTTTGACATATGCGGTTTTCACTATTCACGTATGAAAAAATGACGGAAGTTTTGACATTTGCAGAAGTCTGATTTCTTTATTTGCAGAAAAAAAAGGTTGCATAAACAGGTTTATGATGTTGGTTGTGGGATGTGCAGTCATACAGAAAACAAGTGTAGTTCTCAATTCTTTAATGTGCCAACGTTTCGAATGGTTTTCATTCTTTTTCGAGGCAACACTGGAATAAAGGTAGAGCCTTTTGTCCACTTTATTTCTGGTGTTAGCATTAAAATCGTAGCCGTAGATTCGTTTCGAAGTGGTAGATCTTAATTTATTTCTTCCTTTTTTTTCATGCCGGCACTACTCTAATTACGTGTCAAGGGCTTTAATTTGATGCACTTTTTAGTTGGAAACCTTTTACTCCTTTCAGTCTTGTTCGATTTCAACCTTTTTCAAAAGTAATTTGTAAAATGTAAGAATTCGAGCACTTTCTTACTCTTTGCCAGATGATCAATTCGTTCCTATTAGCAAGAGATTTTTGTTTTACCGTTGAAAATTAAGGGTTAAAATACCAATTGAGCTTTTTCCTCCTTCCCCATCATTCCTAACAAAGAACATGGATAATGTTCTCTGTTGAGAACAGCACCACCTGCTGGTACATGACAGCTCGAGAATAAGATTGTATGGAAATGATGAAGTGGGAACGGTGTTTAGTCCTTTTTAAAAAGATAGTTCCTACTCACTGTAAGTTGTTTTGCAGCGATCCGGATTTCGAGCCCTTAGCTCATCATCAGGTTGAAGGGTTTCTACAGCCTGATGATGAGCTAAGGGCTCGAAATCCGGACCGTTACAAAACATGTTACGAACTATCTTTTTAAAAAGGATTAAGATTGTACGTGGTCAGGAGTGTTGTGATGCAATTGAGAGATAAACTCAGTTCAATTGAAACAGAGGGTAAAAAACAAGAACATAGCAATCATGTCATTTAGCCAAGCAGCCATCAGAGCACTAAGCTCAAACAGTATTATCTCAAAAATGATACTGAGTCGCAAAATTAAATAGAATAAATTAGGTTTGCAAAGTAAAGTTATTCTCTACTGGGTCTCAGGACACCCTTGCAGATAGATGCCCTTGCAAGGAAAATTTACACTATGAATATCTTATACAAAAAGACGATGAAAATGAGAAAACAATTAATTCACTCATGGGCACAGACAATCCAAGAACTTGTTACTCAGAAGGAAAGAAACAACAGAATGCATTGTAGAAAGCTGGAAAATTTTTTGAAACCTAACAGGATTCTTAACAAGGCATGGACTGAATATGCTTTTGATGAAGATTGGCATAAATACATGGTACATGCTGATTCTGCAAGTTTTAGAGCAGACACCAACTAAAAAACTGATTTTACACTTGCAAGAAGAAAGTGCTTTGAAATGTACAACATAAATTGAATCATTGGAACTTGACGAACTAGGACTCACTGGTGTGCTGTAGGTACAGAATATAGGATACAACAGCTCTGAAAGGGCGATATTACACACTCCTCCTGTATCTGTCACTACATTGTGGAATGTTTCCGTTTTTCTTTGCTCAACAACCTTTGTTTCTCTGGCGGCCAGAAAATAAGTTTTAGCGGTTCTCTGTTATTTTGCTATTTTACACAGTATAAAAGTATATGTAGCAAAATTAAATGGAAATGTATTCCATACGCTGAATGTTGCCACATTTACTGCTTCCTGCAGAGGCTGACAAGAATCTTTGCAGGTATGCCTTGAAGTTGCCATAGACACTTGTGAATTGAGAGAAAGTTGGGGGTTTTTGTTAGAAAGTTTTGCCAATTGAGCATTTATACAAAAAATATAAGGCAAAATGAGCCATCTTCTCTGGTAGATAAGATGTACTTAATCACTTAGTGCAAGGTATGCGATTGTATGAGTAAATTGTCTCTTTTCTGTGTACCAGAACATTCACGAATGAACGGTAATGCATTTAGTTAGCAATGTACCAATTAGACCCAAACCCTTATGTAAAGTTTCGAATTGCCAACACAGAAAAGAGACACATACTAAAGAATTCATCTAAAAAAATCACTTGAGCTTAGACCTGCTTCAGCAAAGTTGGAAAATCTTGATTATTGCAGTTAGTAATATTTATTGAATGCTAAAGGCGCTTGAGCTATGTCAGAAAAAATGTAAAATCTAACAAGATCTGGTCAACCTCAAGGTTGAAATATTAAAAAAAATTAAGAAAATAAAATTATCTCCCTTTCTCCCAAGATATCTCCTGGGCCAAATTTTATAATCTATCACCTCACAACATTAATGCATTATCAATAAACGCATTATCTCTTGTGTAAAGCATTTTTTGTTAGGTTTCTTTCTTTATGTACTCATTTGGCTTGCCATGGTAGTTCAAGAAAAATAATCACTGATACATTCCCCTATTCTTAATTGAGCGTGGCGTATGTAAGGGTCCAATTGCAAAAATGTATAGATTTTACAGGGTTTATTTTTCTGAGAACTCTTTGCCCATTCCTATTCACATTGCTGGGAAGTATAAGCAAATAAATGGGGAAAAACATTCAGACATATCTTGTGATTTCTTCCTATGGTCTGCTCGGTGATGTACTGGTAATTTAATGCTTATTTCATCTTGGGTTGATCTGTCAGATGTGTTTTTACATTTTGCCAAATTCAGTGTGTGTGTATGTGTGTTAGGTCAAAGACAATATACATATAAGGAAGAAAAATTCCAATCACACTCTTGACAGATTACAAATCTGCCCTGTGATCCTAGATGGAGCCTTATTCCACCTTACACACTAATTTAGACATTTTACTAGTAATAAAAATTTTCACTCAAAATTGAATAGGCAATAACCATACTTATTTCCATTTTATATTATGTTTTGTCTCATCAAAAGATGCATTATTTCAGTGGTGTCAGGTCTAAGCATACATTGCCTGAGCTCCCTTATGCTTACAACGCACTTGCGCCAGTCATTTCATCAGAAATCTTGGAACTTCATCATAAAAAACACCACCAAACTTACGTTAACAATTTAAATGCGACTGAAGAAAAATTGAAAGAAGCAATGGCAAAAAGCAAGTATATTTTAAAAATGCGCGTATAGTTTATTAAAATAAATGCTATTAACTTTCATTATTTGATTTTCTTTTCAGATGATCTTGAAGCAATTAATACTTTTTCAAAAGCCTACAACTTCAATGCAGGAGGACATTTCAACCATTCTATGTACTGGGAAAATCTATGCCCTGGTGGTTCTGAACCTTCTGGTATTTATATTACAGTTAATAAAACATGCCATGGGGGGGGGGAATCTTTACCTTGCACACTGCGGTATTTCTTCAAATGTGATATATAAAAAAGACAGTGTGGATAGTCGTGGGGTTCTCACAGTTAGTTGAGAAATACAAGTATGCTGTTATTTATTTTTTCATTTACAGAGACTGGGCTTCCACATTGCTAAACATAAATTGACGCTCTGATGCCAACTTATTTATATTATATTGCCTAGGATTACTAGGCCACTCTGTACACCTCTTGTAATCACTGTTTTTTGAACTGTTGACTGAAAAGACCCTGGCACACCATATTTACCTAAAATTTTTTGAATCAGTAGGTAGGCACTGATAATGACTAAAGGGTAACTGTGTAAAACTAGTGGTTTAATAGTCTCTACTATAATACAAAAATAAAAAACTGCATTAATGGACTGAACTGTAAACCTGAACTTTTGTGTCTAAAAGGTGTATAGAGTGGTCTAGTAATCCTAGGCAATATAATATAAATATGTTGGCATCAGAGCGTCAATTTAGGTTTAGCAATGTGGAAACCCAGTCTCAGTAGCTTTATGTTTGATGGCCCCTTACGCTTTTATTAATCCATGAGTTGTTGAGGCCCTATGCCCTCATTTTTCATGATAATTCAGATGATTTGGTTTATGGTGAAGAGAGCCACGAAGAAAATAAAATTGTATTCCATTACAAAAGTGTTTATGGGGAAATGACCATGCATAGAGGCTCCCCAATTAGCACACCCCCATGGTGGGTTAAAATCACAATTGTATTTTTTTCTTCTTTTTTTCAGGAAAATTACTTCAAGCATTAAACAGTACTTTTGGCAGTTTTGACAACTTCCGAACTCTATTAATGAATCAGTCAAATGCAGTACAAGGTTCAGGTTGGGGATGGCTAGGATATGACAAAATGACTAAACAGTTACGCGTTGTTACTTCACAAAATCAGGAACTCCTTCTTAGTTCTACTGGTATTTATTTATTTATTTTTATGTGAAACTAATAATATTGTTTTAAATAATATTTATTTTAGGTCTTGTTCCTCTTCTTGCGGTTGATGTCTGGGAGCATGCATACTACCCACAGTATAAAAATGTCAGGGCCGATTATACTAAAAAGCTCTTTGACATTGTCAACTGGAAAGATGTAGCTCAGAGATATGAGAAAGCTGCTGGCGGTGGCAGCTGCCCATAGAATCTAAAATGAAATATCCTAGAAGCAATTAAGTTCACATTTTCATAGATTTTCCTGTCTTTAATTTCTTTCCATTTTGTTTAATTTTTGATTATTGTTTTATGTGTATAAAATAAAATTTTTATTTTGTTGGAAATATATATTTTATTTTATTTTATTTTTTAAATTTAGACATTTAGACTTAACAGTGAATAATTTTGAAGTTGAATATAATGGTTCAAAACATAATATGTAAAATAATATTATATATATTCACAGATAGAGTAAGACAATACTTTTTATTAATTTACAATATGTTAAACAAAATAATAATTGTAAAATAATAATTTTTCGTCACAAGTTTTTCAACTACACTTTGCCACTGGTTGTATTAAACAAAATTTTATATACAAATCCAGTGGTCAATTACACCCATTATTTTTATTTGTATTTATTTCACAAAGTAGATTTAAATCACAGCCTTTGAAATAAATTTTAAATAAGACAAAACATATTTAGAAGTAACTCAGAAAATGAGATTATTAGAAAATAGTGATTTTTTCTTTCACAAACAAAATATTTAAAAAAATACAAAACTTTTCATCCGTAAAAGAACGAACAATAAAAATACTTTTTACATGACATGTTGTTTTTGTAATAATAAAATGCAGGCACTTGCTTTTCTTTCATTGTAATTTTGGAATTAGGATGGTAGTAGGCCATGCGCCCTCTTATTTTTAGCACCTTTTTTGCGATTGTGGTTGGCATAGGATGACTTGTGGACAGTTTTGTTATTACGGCTTCTCAGTACATCCGTGTCTTTCGAATCGCCTTAAATAGAAAATCAATCAGTATATAATCAAAAATAAAAAGATCAAACGTGTAAATTATGAATATAATGAACATGAATATAAATGGTTTGTATATTAAAAAATAATAAATTTAGGAATATAGGATTGACGTGAGACAAACCTGCGATTACCTAAACAACACAAGAGTTTATGATTCAAATAAAGCTGACAGAAATAAAATTTCAATGATAAAAATTACTACACTTAGTGTCACAACTGATGACTATAGTTAATGGCACCTTTTAAAAATTAGTATATTTTTAACCAATTTTTTTCAACCAAGGCAGATGGGAGATGAACACAAGATGCTAAAGCACCCCAGAGGAGCTAATATCTGCTAATTTTCCATTTAACATTGAAGAATATTTTTTACTTTTAAAGCAGGACTTACCAAACTTTTTAACGAGTGGACCCCTTTCACAGAACAAAATCCAAATCTAACCCCTCTCATTCAAGTATTTAAAATTAGAAAGTTTTAGTATGTAGTAAATAAAACTTTTATTAATTAGCCAGTCCATTCCTAATTATGTGTTGGAGAAGATATCAATATGAAACCAACATTAAATTGATGTACTTAACTTTATTTAAAAAACCCGCAACTCAAAAATCAAATTGGATAGAGTGGAACCAATAGGTAGGTAAACTCAATCTTAACAAGCTAAGGTCATTCCAAAGATTAGGTTGTATGATGATGACGGGAGCTTTTCCCACTACACCAACCCTAGCTTTGGAAGTGATAATAAACACTACACCTCTACACATTGTGGTCAAGGTTAAAGCACTAACCAGCTGCTATAGATTAATTAGTGAAGGCAGCTGGAACCATAAGGGAAATAATATAGTACAGTCGAAAATTCTACATTTATTGAGTAAGGTCAACAACCAACTTCTGGGTGTAAGCGATAAAAAGGTGAAAACACCTTTAGGGAAAAAGTACTTTCAGGTAGTCCCTGTGACTATAACTATAGGTCTGATGATGACCATCGTAGCCTAGACTGCTTCACCGATGGCTCACTCATTAAGGATAAGGGAAGCGGTGCTGGAATACACATACCTAAATTAGGGATCAGCATCTCCTCTCCTCTTGGTAATAACACCTCGGTCTTTCAGGCAGAGGTCTGGGCCATTAATGTTTGCTGTAGAACACTTATGGATAACAAGATTAAGGGAAAAGATATTAAAATTTTTTCCGACAGTCAGGCCCGTCTAAAATCAATACAAAAAGAACTATCAACATCTAGACTGGTAGAGGAAACCGTTGAACTCATTAATAGGACTATCACCAGGTATGAGAATAGGGTAACCCTCATATGGATACCTGCTCATAAGGGGCACTATGGCAATGAGGAGGCGGACAGCCTGGCCAAGGAAGGATCAAATACTGCGTTTGTCGGACCACAACGTGTATTACCCCACTCTTTAAGCACAGCAAAAGAGAGTATAGGTAGCTGGGGCATGAAACAATTCCTTAAGGAATGGAATATGTCCCCTGGATGCAGGCAATCGAAGGAGACCTAAAGAAACGAAATGGTTACTCTCTAACTCCAGGGGAGGAATAAGGAGGCTGTTAGGTATCCTAACGGGCCATTGCCCCTTGAGAAGACACCTCTTCATAATGGGTACTCTACCAGACCCCTTCTGCAAAACAAAAGAAGAAACGGCTCGACACTACCTCGCAGAATGCGATAGGTATGCTAGGGAAAGATTTAATACTTTCGAAGGAGAGGACATAACCAAAACACTCCCCAGGATAAAATGGTCCACAATCCTGGGGTTTGTGAATAGGTCCAAAAGGTTTATGCAGGACTCGTGAGCCGACCAGGTCCCGGACCTTTTAGGGATGGGGTACGGGTCTACTCAGGCTTTTAACCCCTCGGGTCCTGGTCGCCCGCCCTGTGTAATATATATATAGGTAAACTCAAGCCAAATTGAAAAGTAATAATTATAATAATTTGAACATTAATGATTAATAAATTGATGGGAAGAATGAAGTTTTTTAGCCTGCACAATTTGGGTATTTAATTTTTGAAAGCTGGAGACTGATGTTGGGTACAGCAGCTAGACAGCTTTGGTAGTTAGTTTTTTGGTACTGTATAGGTACAAAATCTGGATTCGCATAAGTTGTAAATAAAAGAACACGTTTTGCTTTTTCAAACAATTTTTTTGTTTTCCAGACAGAGTCAAAAAGTATCAGACTCTTAAGTAGATTTCAATGTCTGAAGTAATGTTTATTGAACATTCGTATCATTAAGATAGCCTGGTTGGCTCAATCGAAACTGAAAACAGTTTGACAGCCTGTTCATGGTCTTGCAGCATTGAATGTTGAGCTGTTATGAAGTAGTGCACAAAAGACATCCAAACTTCGAAGGTGTTCACATTTTTCAACAATCAGCGTTCACAAGCTCTAGTTTGTTTTCTTCAACATGTAACACAGAAAAACACTCCACCGCTCCCTAATCAACGGGTTCATCCAAAAACTGGATATTTCTTTTGAAGGCGAGAACTTTCTCATTAGCATCAAAAGTTGTGCTTGTGAACTTCCCTTACAAAGAAAGACTTATCTCGTTCATTTTCATGAAAATATATGATAAATATTCACTGCCATTTCTCATCATTTAAAACGTTGGCCTGACATTGTGGTCCATCAACAGAGATAAGACTTCAAAACATAATCCTATTATCGGGAAAGTGCTTTCCCATGAGACAGCCACCTGGGGAGGGGAAGAAGCAGGGAATGATGAAAGCCTCCCAACAATCCTATAGTATCAAAGTGAAAAGTTTTGACTTCAATAGCTATACTTAATAATTTGAACAATCTCATCCAAAACTTTCTTAAAAGTGGCTGGAATTTGTTTCATAGCTAAAGCAAGTTTGTGGAGAACACTGCTGCTGTAATCCTTTGATTTATCTTTTATTTTAGAAATCACTCCGATCCTTTGGTCAGTCGTTGCTTTTGCAACATCTGTGCACTTATCGATGCAATTAGACCATGAAATTTAATTAGTTGGAAAGAAATCGTCCAATGAACAGAATATTTTAGCATCTGTTGCGTTGGCTGGAAGTGGTTTGCACAAAACCAACCCAAAGATGTTAGCTGATTGGTGATTTGGGAGAAAATGAATTGAATTGGATGCAAGAAACCAGCGATTCTTTCACACCATTTGATAAATCAAGTATCCGTCTTTTGACAATATTGTTTGATAATGGCACCGACATACGCTTTACTATTTTTCCGCCAAGCATACAAGATACAATTAAAACAGTTTTATGAAGGTTTAAGAGATGGTATGAGACGTTTTCAGCTTGCTTAATCACACGAGCTTTACCCTCACCAGCCTCTACAAATCCCAAATCTAAGTAGCTGCCATGGTACTAACACTTTTTACATACTCAACTTCCATTTGACCTGCATCTATTCATCTCATAGAATTTGAGCATGCTGGATCCAGTATCAACAATGAAATTTCTAGGCAACCGAACGACTTTCTCACTTATCTTCCTACTTTGCTTACGAGGGTAAAACGTAGAATGAATACATAAAAATAAAAAAATTTCGTTTTCAGTACTCGTTGCAATTAGTTTTTTAATTTTATTTATTCATTCTACTTTATTTTTTTAATTATTAATTTTTCAATTTGGATACAACTATTAATAGAAAGAAAAATTGAAGTAACTATGTTTTATTTCACTCACCTGCTACATTTCTTGGAGGATGCGGATGTTTGAGAGTCTTCGAAGCCCTTCTCTGTTCATACCTTGCTCTTACATCTTCTGGGTTTTCGACAAAATTTAGATAAGTCGTTCTTCTTTGATTTTCATCCTCTTCTACCTCTTCGTCATCAGATTCCGAAGACGATCTTTCTGCTCTTTGTTCTAGCACTCGGGGAGTGACAAATTTTCTGAAATAACAAATTTCGTTTAAAATATTTGAACTAATTTTTAAATCGTATTTGGTCGTACCGATCTAATTCTCCTACTTCTTGGACATCAACCTCACCGTCATACATATCATCATATTCATCATCATATATATCAACTAATGTTTCAATAATTCCTAATTCTGAAAATCTGTTTCTGAATTCTTCCCTAAATGACTTATCATCGATTAAATCTTTAAATGATTTGTTATCGTCCCTTCTAAAAAAAAAAATTGAGAAAAAATCAAAAGAAGTAAATTAAATATAATTGTTTTGACTTACTTTTTGCGATAACCTGTCATTTCTTCACCTGGAGGTTTTTCATTAAATGCATTAAAATCTAAAATATTCACAGTTGGCACAGCCTCCTTTTGCTTTAGAGAAATACAGAAATTAATATTTTTGTAACGATAAATTTTAATTTTTAACTTACAATTTCATTTTCAAGTTCAGGAGGTATATAAGGCAATTCCCTATCAAGGGACTGCAACGACGGTGGCAAGGAGTCTTCTAATATAGCATTTATCACATCCGCACTTGAATATTTGTAATATACTAAGCACCTCTGACAAAAAATAAAACATGTTAATACATTATGATTCTTATTGTATACTGATGATAACGTACCTCGATAAATCCATCGCCGAGTTGAGGTAATATATCTTTCACTTCTTCTATTAATACTGCTAACTGGTTATCTTTAGGCTTTGGTGAGTTATTTGCATACTGTAAAATAAAGATTTAAGACAGTAGGAAAAAATTTGAATAAATGATTCACGATGATTAAACATTTACTGCATCAGTTTTGACTGGTTGAGTTGACTGGCTTGTTGACGGCATAGCTTCTGCTGGTGGGACGGTACTATGTGGAGCAGCGCAAGTTTTCAATAGCGAATGCTTTAGAAAGTTTAATTTCTCATGGTCTCTACAATAATTTGGTAAAGGAAATTTTTTTTCCTTAATTTTGGCTGGTTTAATAAAAACACAAATTGTTTAAAAAATTAAAGTCAAATTTAGTTCAATTGTAAATTAATCATTCATTTTTAAGAAAATAAATAAGAATTAACAAATACTTTGGGGAAACAATACCGCACAAGAATATTCTTGCTACAGTCGAACTTCACAAATGAAGACACCACTCGGAAATGAGATTTTGTCCATTTATTAGAAGGGTGCTTATGTAGAAAAATTATTTGGTACATAAAGTAAAACTAAAAAATGAAGTGAATTCAAACGAATGTATGTATATAGACATCTATGCATGGTCTCTAATTTTATTTTTCTTATGGTTAAGGCTAAGGTTAAAAGGAAACCTAACGCACCATGACCAACATTGGTCTATTATGAAATCTACATTATTTGTACAGCTCTTTGTTAAATGAAATGGTTTTTAACAGATCTCAAAGCTATGTGAAGAGCTCAAGCGCGTATCCTTCGAGCCTTGTGTTTTCCTCTCCCAGGAGTAGGAATCTATCTACTTAGGCCATCACCAATGAGAAAATTTTCTGTTGTTTCTTCTTCTTCTTCCTGGCATTGTCTACATAGACTTGTTTCTGAGGAACAGAAACAAGTCAGAGTCTGTATATCTGCTTCTGAAGTCTGCTATCAGCAGTCTTGCTATCATTCCTAGAATTAGTTAACTTTAGTTTCTGCAATGGTCCTTTAATGGTGTTTGCTCTGCACTTGTTACTTTTGCACTATCCTAGAATACAAACCCATTGAACTGAGAGCTTACCCAATAGGCTGTCACAGGCCAAACTGAGCCAATAAGTGTCCTTATTGAACATTCGTTGGTTTACCTCCTTGTTGCCTCTCTGCCCTAGTAGCACCCAAGCAAGGGTAAGTTTGTTATACCCCAATGCCTTACAGAGCTTTGTTGCATCCCAAATGTCTGGATTTTACTACTCCATAGATAGTAATTTGCTCTTTCTGATGGACTTGAATGACTTTTTCTACCATTTCTCTGATAGAAAGAATCTTTTTTCACACATTGCAAAATAGGTTTGTCACAATCACAATGTGAGAACCAACAAATTGTTCATGTTGTTGTATAGCATGCTTCATATTAATTACTTAAGTCATTGTTTAGGGTAATGACATATGCAGCAGTTTTGGCTGAGGCATTTATCCAGAGAAAACCGAGTTTGTGAATTGTCCATAGATGTAGCATTGCACTGACACATGTGCGTATTGCCTGCAGTGGTCTAGGAAACATTTTGAAAACGCCAGCGTTCAGTAGTTGCATTTTAGTTAGACAGCCCCAACTCACACAGTTCATTTTATTTTTTAATTGAAAACCAAAACACAAAAAATAGTTGTGGAAAAATTAATCAGCGAAGTTGAATTCTACTGCTTTAGGTCACATGAGAACTGAATTCATTGTTGAATGAAAATCACAAAAATATCTGTGTTAATTTACCTAAAAATAAAATATTATGAGGAAAGAGGACTTAATAGAAAGAGCATGGGCATTGATTCATCATTCATGCAGATTGTTTTTTCATAATTCCTTTGTGGGAACTGACGACAGAAATTTCTTGCAAAATCAGAATTCTCAACTGATGGTATAAACGCTTTATTAATCCACTGCATGTGTCATAAGCCTGAAAACATCGACTTGACAAACGCTTTAGTCAAAACTGCTGCATGTGTCATTACTCTTATGTAAAGCTTGATAAGGTTTTTATAAGGATACAATTCTGGACAAATCTGTGATATCATTTCAAAATCAGATTCAATCGCAAATTTATTATTGTAATCAGTGATAAAAATGGAGTGGATAAAAGAATTTGACAAAGTATCTATAAAATTGTTACAAAGCCTAGTCAAATCTGGATCTCTGGCATCACTACTGAAAATGAATCATGTGTAAACCACAAACTAAAGAATATGTAAAATTAAGAACAAGTAGAAATTAAAAGTTTACCTTTTCAATAATATCGAATTGAGAATAGGTTCCAAACACTGATGAAACAACGTTATTAAAAAATACCTGGTGTGGTTTATCTTTAGCATTAAATTAAAATACGTACTCATTTTATCATCATTAAAGCATTGATTTTTTACCACGTTAGTAACAGACGGTATTACATCATCGTACAAAGTGGAAATGCTAAAAATTTAAGTATAAAATAAATAAAATTTCCTTTATTTTAACATCTTCGGTACCTTTTACATACTTAAGTTCGAATTTGTGTTGATGCAGTATATTTGCGGCATCAGGATAAAAATTAATAAAAGTAGAAAGACTAGCAGAGACATCAAGCAAGTACAAAATCACATCTTGTATTTTTGACATTGGCATATCGAGCCCAGGAACTCTTCTATCACTTAGTTTTGTCAACTCGCCAGGCACACAAGAACGCTCCGGAAATAAGTCTTCAAGCGATTGAAAAATCTTCAAGGACAAAAATAAATAAAATTCTTGTTAAGTTACAATTATTTTCATTAATCCACTCACTGTTTTTATTGGCTGAACTAAGTTATTAAGGTCTTCTTTGTACATTGGCTGAGCTTTAAAAACTTTGTTTATAATGTTGTGGACTTCATCCTTGAAGCTTTCTCCATATACAACACAGACATCAAGAAGAATTGGAAATGAGACAATGGTATAATTGTACAGTAAGCTTCCAAACTTTTTAGCACCAATCCAATGTGCCTGAAGTCGCAATAAAAAATAAAAAAAATTAAAGTATAAATTCAATATATTCAGTTTTTCAACTGAATTGTCAATTACCTCAGATTCCTTCCGAGTCGTTGCTCTTTTGATTATACGAAAAACTAGGAAATAAATCTGGAAATACATTTGCTTTATATCTGGATCTTGTGGCAGGCTATCGAGGATGTAATAAGGATAGGCTTCTTGTAAAAATGTTATCACAGAATCCCACGAATCTTTCCCGTATATTATTTGAGACCAAAACCTGTAGGATTTGGCAGACGTAAGCTTATGACAGTGTTAAACATAAATTCTATTAACCTGTGATGAGGTAAAGTCAGCAGCCACTGCATATTTTCTTTAAATATATTTGTTTTACTAAGCCAGCTATCCTTCGCCCCAAGAACAAAGGCACCATCATCATTCGGTTTAGGTGGAGTAATGAAACAAGTCATTTGACGATTGCTAGCAAAATATGAGCTCTAAAAACAAAAGTAAATAGATAATATGTGCTACTACAACAATCCAGAAAGGATTAGAAAATCAAATAATTTAAAAATAATTATGAGATGTTTTATACTAATCTCATAAAATACAACCGAGTGACAAAATTATAGACACATTAAAAAATCACGATTTCAACAGTCAAAAATGATTTCTTTTGCCATTAGAATATTGTTCATGATATTAAAAGAAAATTAACTCTGGAAATGGTTTGATCTGATAATCTTATACAAATGTACATAAACAGTAGTTTTGATTTAACTGCGACAGAATTATAGACACACATTTTGTTTACGTTTATGTTATAACTCCAAAGGTTTATTCAGTATTCACTGTACTGTGCTTTAGTAAAGTGATTACTGTGAGTTCATTTGGAGCAATTCAAAGTTATTTTAAAATGCACAAAGGAAGAAGATTTTCTGATGAGGAGCGCTGGTTGATCCACTTGCTCAATGAAGATGCGAGATATCACCCGACGCATAAAACAAAGTTTTTCATCAGTATCAAAGAAAATACGACTAGGTGAAGACTATGGAAGAGGGCATAGCTCTGTAAGACCTCCTTCCTTGACCAGAAGAGACTAATCGCACATCCTGCGCGTTGCTTCAAACAGTTTTTTTGACTGCAAAAGCCATCGCAGAGAAGGCAGGTGTTGATGTTTCTGTTCAAACTGTTAAGAGATTCCTTAAAAAACTGAAAACATAGTCCAAAGAAAACTGAAACGCAAACCAGCTCTGAAACCCCACCACAAACTAGCCCGTGTCAAATTTGCTGAAAACCACATTTTGAAAAATGAAGATTATTGGCAAAAAGTTATTTTTTATTATGAAAAAAATTCAATTTGGATGGCCTGGATGGATACGCATACTACTTTCATGATCTAACTAAAGAAGAAAAAATTTTGTCACAGGCCAAATGGGTGGTGGATCTTTGATGATTTCGGGGTGTATTGGGTGTAATAAAAAAGGGAATCTTTGTTTTCTTCCAAAAAAAAGTCAATTCGGAATATTACAAGAAATTACTGGACAAAGAAAAAACTAGTTTCAGTGATTTATGCGAAGGACTCCAATATTCCAGCAGGACAATGCACCCATACACAAGGAAAAAATAGTTAAAGAATGGCTTTCACAGAAAAGCATTGAAAAACTTGAATGGCCTGCACTCTCACCAGACTTGAAAATTATAGAAAATTCAATTAATTAAGGTTTTTAGTTGAGATAAAAAAGTCAATGGCACGGGCGGGATTCGAACCCACGACCTTCGGCTAGATACGCCGCTGCTCTACCACTTGAGCTATCATGACTTAGATCCACTCGGCCATCAACCTTCCATGTCAACCCCACCTTTTGAATTTTCCCTCCTTTTTGCCATTTTTCAAAAATGGAAAATTCAAAAGGTGGGGTTGAGATGGAAGGTTGGTGGCCGAGTGGATCGAAGTCACGTTAGCTCAAGTGGTAGAGCAGCGGTGTATCTAGCCGAAGGTCATGGGTTCGAATCCCACCCGTGCCACTGACTTTTTTATCTCAACTAAAAACCTTAATTAATTGAATGATATTAATTGGTCAAGCGGACCACGAAAAATAGTGAATTTAATTATAGAGAATGTATGGGGAAAATTATCGAGGATGGTATATCAAGACTGTAAGCAGTACAACTCTGTCGACGAACTTAAAACATGCTGGAATCATGCCTGGAATAATTTGCCTCGAGATTTTATTCAAAATTTGTACAAAACCATTCCAGAAAGATTACTGGAAATAATAAAACTGAGTGGTAATGCCACAAAATATTATAACCTTGTTTTAAATTGCGACAAAATCGTTTAATTTTAGTATTTTAATAATTTTTTCTCTTATTTACTGAAAAATTAAAGTTTAATGAAGAAAAATATTTATTACATGTGTTTTGAATAAATATTTGTAGTACAAACCCATTACATGGAAAAATCATAACAATTAGGGTGTGTCTATAATTTTGTAACTCGGTTGTAGCATAAATAAAAAAGGCTTAAATGCCATTTTTGTACAGTTCTATTTTGTTGTAATAATTGTTCTAAATTAGAACATTCAAAACCAAGATATATTTTTTGTTTCTACTTGGTAAAATATGCTTGTAATTTTAAATTTAATAAATTGGAATGAAAATTATAAAATATTGTAGGGATTTCTAGTCAAGCTAAGTCAATGCTTTGTACACAAAAAGTTGATCAATTTTAATTAAACATGTATGAATAAAAACTGATTCAAGCTTTTAACTTTTGCTGTTCAAGTAAAGTTGAATCGTGAGAACTGTTGTTATTTATACGCATAAATGTGTAGTACAAGAGAGTTGATGGAGGATTATCGAGTACTACTTGAATGAATGGTATATAAATAACAAGGAATGTAGTTAAAAATAAGCACACTAAATGATTATCTGGTGTTTCGGTGAATTTTCTTTCTTCATAATTAAACATATTTCATTAAAACTCTTCAATTAAATTTAAATTTACATTTAAATTTTACTCATCAAATTAGAACTCATCAATACCAGATAATAGAAATATTTAAAAACTAAAAAATTGAATAAAAATGTTATACCAAAGCTGGCACTTTTCTCGTTACACCTCCTTCTTCGACAGACACTGACAAAGCCTCCAGGGATTTTTCTTTGCATTCCTGCAAATGTTTTTAAAATAAAAATATATAATACAGTTGTCACAAGTCAAATCAGGATTATAACTCATATTTAAAGAAAAAAAAAACTTAAAAAACCAACCCTCAAACTGCTCTCGGGATTTTCTGAAGCCATGTTAATAGGTTGTTTTCGTCAGGGCTAAAGAAACACTGTCGTATCTCTTAAAAATACCTTAACAGAGTTATTATCACATAAAACATCACTAATGGCCGAACACGAAACAGGAAAATAAGGTTACGAGCCTGTTGGGAGAGGACATTCGGTTATATGCCCAACGAACCTTCGACCATTAGGGCATGGCCCAGAATGATGCTAGGGTATGTCATATTAGGGGGAACAAAAACAACACGGTTCAAATACAAAAGTTAACCCAATAATTTCTTTCTTTCAATTTGATTTATACTTAAACCATAAAAACCAACTGATACACATTCATTTCAAAAATAATGTATATCTGTTAAACTTACAGTACTCAAATTGTTAACATTTGTTGCATTTGATTTTTAATCTTGGTTATCACTTTGCATTTTATTGAATTTCCTAAAAAAAACTTTTATAAAAGAAATGTTTTCAGTCAGTTTTATGGCTCACATTCACCTTTCAATCATTACAGAGCAATTATTTTCAAACATTGAAATATTTTGAAGACACTTTCTTTCCTAAGTTTATTCTTAATAATAATAATAATAATATAGGATAAATAAGATTACGAGTGAATGTTTGGAGTCAGAGCTTTATAGCACTCAGAAGAGATATAGCTAACCTAAGATAGAAGGTTTGGATGTTAGGGCGTGAAATGACCTTAGCCGTTAAAACGCCCTTAAAAATTAATAATAATAACAAGAAGAAGAAGAAGAATTATTTAAGCTATGCATAAAAAGAATATATTGCTTGGATATTCATCAATCAGAAAGTGATAAATCGTTAATATAATGATAACAAATAGAGTACAAAATACAGAAGTAACGCAAAGAAAACAATGAAGTAATATTATATATAAAAACAATTTACATTATTATTAGAGGAAGGGCATATTCCCAATTGCCTTGAGGAATATCCAGTAATCTAGGGTAATGTGAACAAAGTCTGGCAAGTGGCTGTAATTTATTAGCACATATAATGAGGCTTATCCCCAATTACCTCCAGGAATATTGAGCACTCTGGGTTAGTGTGAATGCTATCCAAACTTATGAACATTGCAAATTAGTCAAGGAACATAATTGATCAATATGCAATGCATATATTTTTTTAGAGGGAAGTGGGGAACGGTTGGGTGAAAAAAAAGGGCCAAGGGTGACAGTGTGAAGCAAACCCACTACAGAGTTTATGAGCTGAGAGTCTATCACGCTGACTAATTGAGGAAAGAAAATCCAAATGTTTCATTAGAATAATTATTTGTTACTTTAAAAAGTCATTAAAAATAAAAAATTTATTCTTGCTGAGAATGTGTCAATGAGCCCCACACACAGAAAAAATCATTTAGTGAAAGATTAAAATTTATCTAACAATTTATTACCTGATTTTGCTCTTAATAACACATTAAGGGCAAAACTAGACATTCCTTTTTTTAAATTTAAAAGTCATTTGTTTCAAAATTATAATAATATTGTACAATATGAAATATGAATGTCTCAAAATTAGAATAATGTACAGTATGAACATTCATTTTTTGACTACTTTTATAGAATATTTAGCCACTACTTGTATTTAATTTAACTTTCCCTGCACTCCTTCTGTTATTGCCTTTACTCATCCATTTTGTCCTTTATTTCTGCCAGGCTTGAGTATATAGCAGAATAAACTACATGGTTGTCTAATTAAATTATATATATAAAAAGAAAAACTGTTTCATGATTCGAATGAAATATTTCATGTCTTCAACAGTCGAAAAGGGTGGTCTTACTCACAAAATATGTGAATAAAACCATCCATTACAACCAGTTAAAAAAAAGTCATTTGTCTCAAAATTAGAATAATATTGTACAGTATGAACATTCATTTTTTGACTACTTTTATAAACTATTTAGCCACTACTTGAATTTAGTTTACTTTCCCTACATTCCTTCTGTTATTGCCTTTACTCATCCATTTTTCCTTTATTTCTGTGAGGCTTGAGTACATAGCAGAATAAATTACATGGTTGTCTAATTAAATTATATATATTTAAAAAATTTTTTTTAAAAAACTGCTTCATGACTCAAATTAAATATGGCATGTCTTCAACAGTTGAAAAGGATGGTTTTGCTCACAGATTTTTACTTACACAATGTGTGAATAAAACCATCATTACAACCAGTTAAAAAAAGTCTTTTGTCTCAAAATTAGAATAATATTGTACAGTATGAACATTCATTTTTGACTACTTTTATAAATGTTTAGCCACTACTTGTATTTAATTTAACTTTCCCTGCACTCCTGTTATTGCCTTTACTGGTCCATTTTGTCCTTTTTTCTGCCAGGCTTGAGTATATAGCAGAATAAATTACATGGTTGTCTAATTAAATTATATATATTAAAAAACTAAAAAAAAAACTGCTTCATGACTCAAATGAAATATGACATTGAAAAGGATGATTTTAATCACAAAATCTATGAATAGAACAATAAGCTAAAAAAAGATCTACTTTTGTAGCTTTTATGAATGCATTTATACTAAAACTTGCTGATGTTTTTCATGATAAAAACTGTGTAATTGTAATGATATATTATATTTGTCTATTTAAGATGCATTGATTTTTTGGTGTAATTTATAAGTATTGAAAGTTCAAGTACAAAAGATTTATACTATATGTATTTTTGACTATTTATGCATTATGACAACAATGACTTGAAATTCTCAATAACACTATTGTAAAAACCTATAATATTCAAGTGTCTTAATCAAATTAGATATTTTATAGGGCGTCATTGATTTAACAGTTCTTACTATACACGCTAGGTTGGACGTCTCAGTAACCTAAATGTCTGGTAACAATCAATGCTGATTAAGCTTTGTTTGGGCGATTTAAAGCCCAAAAGGTTTGACCTATCGGTTCCTATCAGTTCACTGTTTAAACAAACCGGAATCAGTGACTCGTGTCAGCCTACTACCACAAGACAATGTAATATAAGGTATTTATATTTTATTTTTTTAACCATTTTTATATATGTTCATTTCGATGATTAATTAATTTTTTGAATTATATGACTCGGTACAATGATTTTCTTGTCCTGAATGGGAAAAATATATAAAAGTATTGGCTTGAAATATTTGTAGATAGCCTTAGAATGTAGACTAGTTGAGTGTCCCTAAGTCTTATCTGATTATCATGTTGTGTTATCATTTGACAGAAAGTCGACTTGGATCAGCGGAGATTTGAATGTAGGATCCGATAGGTAGCGCTGAGCTGTCTGTTGAATTCGATTTACAATTTTTGCCGCCTTTTTATAAATTAATAACAATTATTATTAATTATTCTTCTCAGTATAATATTTTAAAATTGTGACCGCAAAATTATAAAATTTTTTTAATAATTATAAAAGACACACAGGATGATCAGAGTTGTATGCTTCACCCACATTTTTCTTTAATAATCAAACTAAAAAATGTGAAAGATACGTGTCTAATGATATTTCTTCTGTTTTTTTAAAAAATATTTATATTTATTTGAGTGAATGAAGAGGGTCTGATGGTTAAATAGTATTATATATAATAAAAGTTAANTATATATATATATAAATTTTGTATATACTTAAATATTGCAACAACATTCAATACGCATTTACACAAATAAATACATTCATACTTATTGCATTGCATTCATTATATTACTCAGTACTCAATATTCCTCCATCAACCTGCATACAAGAACAAACTAGTCTAATTGGGGTCAATACTTTTATAAATCCATTCCAGTTCGTGGACCGATTGACCAACTAACATTTTTCAATAATTAATATTTATGAAGGTATTGATTGAGATAAAAAAGTCAGTGTCACGAGCAGGATTCGAACCCATGACCTTCGGCTAAATACGCCGCTACTCTACCACTTGAGCTATCGTGACCTCGATCCGCTCGGACACTAACTTCCCATCTCAAATTCGAGACTGAACACACTGAAGTAGTACTTAAACATACATGGAAAGTGGCACAATCGTAATTTAGAAATATTGGAAAAATTGGAAGGCGAATAAAACACATAGGAGGCTTTGCTCAGCAAACGTTTATTCAGGTTGGCTCGACATATTTAGAAAAAGACAGATTTTCTTTTATGGCCATTATTGGAGAGAAGGACCAAGGTTACTTAACTCGATGGAAAAACTTAAAATTGCTCCGATTGTGAATGCAAAATCATTTTATCCTGTGATGGTGGATTTATTTTTTAACGCTCTTCGAGATAAAACTACGCAGTTAAAAAATGAGCGTTGTCAAAGAGGAAAAGTTTCAAAGGAGCGTTTAACTTTGCTCTTTGCAAAAGTATGCTTGGTGAATTTTAAAAACCCTCTAGTCAAAGGAAAGGCTAAAACTCCTCGGTGTTTCAAAGGTGTCGATATCTTGTAATCCCCATTGTAGTCCATCTTGTAATACTAAACATTTTTTTCACCCTTATCCCAAAAGTGGACTATTTCATTCTCCAGTTCTCTCAGTTCGTTATAGGGAATGTACTCCAAAACAAGTATCACATGAATTACGACAACTACAAAATCTTCGACAAATTTAATTAATTGACATGGCTGAAACTATCTCTGGCTTATCATAAAAAATTTCCCAAAATACTACAGATAACCCAAAGATGGAAAATGGTACTGGTATGGGTATGAAGGGGCCTAACTATAAGAACCACATGGCCCTAGGCCATAAGATCATAAAGATTCTCGCCTCTTCTTGATTTGCCCTTGGAATAAAATAACACTGGACAGTTGGCAATGTCAGTACAGCGAAACGGAAAAAGGGCTATTTTATAAAAAGCTATTCCCAAAAATTTCGTCTACATCTGTTCCAATATGCCATTGAAGAAATCAACATGAAGAATAATCTGTAAACTACAAGCCAGCGACGGACTTGGTAAATCCTACTTAAAATAGAAATTTATCTGAGTAGTGGCGAAACTTTAGAACATAATGCTTTAAAGGAATGACTTCAAGGGCATGAACGCGGTAGAGTGCTGACTGTCACACAGTGAGGCAAAGTCGGCAAAATATCGATTTCCTAAAACTGAAATTTTGATTATCCAGTTCACTTTTCTTACAGTATTTGAGCTAAAGAATAAGGCTGTAATAATGGTTTGACGGTTAAAAATTGAACCAGTAATCACTGCTGAAACCTGAAAATTATAAATTTTGCAAGATATACAACTTGTAAAAAAATTTCACCCTAATTTCTTTTTATGTAAAGACAAAATTCAACGTGGGGTGGAATCAGGTGGATTAGTTGAGGGAAAACCAGAACTATTCGAGGAATATTCGGTTTTTTAGACGTCCAAAAAAAGCTTCATTGTTCTTTGCTTTGGTACCGTCTTTCTTCCTTGTATAAACATCGAAGCACTTACTATCTCTGTGGTTTTTATCTGCCTATCTGATTGGAGCACTGATTTAAATTGAGCTACTTGCTTAAAATCTCGAAAATACAATAAATTTGGCCATTTTCTGTTTAGTTGTAGACCTAGAATGTTATTGTTCTTTTACTATGTAGAATACGAATCAGATATCAGAAATATCGCGTCATGAAACGTTTAATTTATTTAATGAAAGATATACGTTTAAAGTATCACAAACTTTCGTTTCATTGCAGACGAAGTGTAAAAAATTATCGACTTTTGTAGTAGGTATATAATTATAGTAATTGGTTGGTCAGATGTTCCCATCTTTACTTATGGATGTTGGGACCCATGAAGATCTTTAACGTCCGGACTTATCCCCGAGGGTACTTCTCAGACGCCCAGTGTTCTGAAGAAGAACACCAGAAAGATTTTACATGCATGAACTTGTCACATCCCTTGGTTAGCGAGGTGGTGCAATGCTAACCAAGTTCAGAAGTGCTCTAAAAACAGCACATCCATACATGTGCCTTGAAAACAGCAGTTTTGTGGTTTCTGGCACAGTCTTTCAGCAGTGCCTTTCACCACCCCGGAGAGATATCTCCGGCTCCGGTTGGCGGGTACACTTCAGCTAAGGTACAATTTGTTTGCAAACTACGACCGCCACGAGTCCAACCTCAATTAGTAGAGTCGCTTGGATACTCGACTCCCGTGGTTCGGTGCTATTTTTAAGTTGGGATACGAGCCCCCTACTGATGCACCCGTTGCCTGAGGGGTGCGGGTTCAGCAACCCAGGAAGCCTCTGCCAAAATAGAGGGGGTAAGGAAGGGAAAGGAAAATAAGGAGAGGATAGATATGGTATAGGAAAATAAAATGGGAAAATGCCTCCATCATTGGTTACCCCCCAGTTACCAGAGTTGATGGTTGGACTTTGCCTGGGCCCATAAGAAAGGTGTCCTTGAGGGTAGGGTTATTTGGTCAGTTCAATTTTGATTTATTGTATATTCTTCGAATAACAAATCAGTATAATCGATCAGTATACCGATTCTAATTGCTTTCCATTCACGCAAACAGAGAAGTGCAGTATATCCTTCACTGCAGAAAGCCTTTCACTAAGAATTTTTAAAATTTTGAAAGTAAGGTATTTTAATGAAAACCCAAAATATTAATAATTTCACTTAAAAAAATCAGTTTACGACTTTAACAGAAATAGCAAAAACAATGAAATAAATGACCATTGGGAAACTCGTGTGTTCAGTTTTTATTTTACGTTTGCTGTGGGCCAATCGATTTTAGAACAGTTTTATTGAATTCAGCTCATAGTAAAACATATCCAGGATGATTATTGGTGATGTTTCATGTTTGGATTTTGGCCACAATTTTGGACGGTTTGCTGTGGTCCAATCGATTCGAAAAAGTTTCCTTGGATTCAGCGCACCAGAAAACGTAAACCTCAAATTTGGGGAACTTACCTCAAATAGCCTGGATGTTACTGAATTTTTTGCATTTTTTTGCGTTTTGTCCCCACCGTGCGACACGCTATAGGAAATTAAATCGAAAAAAGAGACTTGACTTAACAAAATCCCACTGATGATGGCAAAATACCGAAACGTATCTGATAGAAGTGTGGATAGTTAGACCAAAAATAATGGATAAGGGCCAAATCACACGTTCATCACGCCGCACACCACAGAGAAATCTCACAAAAAATTAATACATCCAATTAAAAGCATAAGTTTTCCCTCGTTAAAAAGAAGATTTAAAAGCTTGCCCCGTATTTCACAATTATATTGGCAATACAGTCTGTAATGATTTTTGTAATAGATTTTTTTACACAAAACAACGTTATCTCATAAGTTGGCAATGATAACGTGAATGAATATTTACTAGCTTCATTGAATTTACCATAAATAATGCTACAAATTTATTTTACGACCTGACATTTTCATCAATATTATGATTCGTGTAAATGGTTCACTGGTTCATTTTGGAACGAAATGTATTAAGCTTTAATCAACCTACAGTGGGTTGCGCTTTCTTTTGTTTAGCGTAAAACAAAGAACGGTAAGACTGCTATTGTTCGTGTAAATATCGATTTAGTTTGACGTAGTACATTTTGTTACTTTTTTTGTAAGTGAAAGACTTTCTAATAGCATATCGTCCCAGATGTATTTAATAGATCATTATACACTCGTAATGTTTGAAAAAGAATTGAACATTTGAAAAAATATTCTTTATTGTGCAACTTCATTCTTATAGTAAATCCATCTGCACGGTGTGCACAATAGCTATAAGTTGAGTAATTTGTTAAAGTTCGGTGTTACCTTCGACGAAAACCTCTCTTGGAAACTACACATTTCCAAAATTTACCGACGAATCCTGTACTGGATCCCACGTTTTCCGCCGGTCCCGGCTGTGTCTCCTCCCTCACCTTTCGTCTCTTCGACTATAGCTGTGTGGACCCCTCTTCGCTTATGGTGGACTTCAGAAGGAACAAAACGCGCGTCTGAAGAGACTGATGAATTGTCAGATTTATTTTTGGCACCCCCGAATGTCTAGTGTCACACCTGTTCAGACCTATCCTAGTTTTATCC